GATGTTCCTCTAGTGCCCGCTGTACCGTCCAAGGTACATGATTTTCACTTAGATATTACGGTTGCTCATCAAGCGCAGTAGTTTGAGTAAGAACCACGAGAACCAGTGCTATATGGGTCTTTACGTGCCTCTTTACGTGTATTCTCTTTGAACCTTCGCTGACGTAGAATGGAGTATGTTAATTATGAACGGTTCCCGCTCTCGCCACATATATCCTTACCTATATATGTTACCCTTTCGGGTGGTTACTATATTATGCTTATAAATTATCAATTCTTAAAACGAAGTAAATAAGAAAAGATTTCTAGATATATTAAAGAAAATAATCTATCTATGTAAAGCTACCAAATCTTTTAAAAACACCTGATTCTATGGAGATACAATTATTATTTCTTTAAGATAAGAAGGTATATTAAGAACATATTTTAGAATATTAGACACGCCCTCTCATTTACTATTAAACCCCAGAGAGAGAACGGAAATGGACTGGCATAAAGAGAACGTACAGATAAGGGGAAATGACAGTACATTTCAGCAGATTGATAAGATCACGTATAGGCAAGATCAGATATGACGTAATCTGTCTTGGTGACGTTAATCTGTGTATGAGACTGATAGCTTAGATAATGCCGTGCATCCACATGTCGATTACGCTGATTGTGCGAGGCGACACGTCAACGGAAGATGCTATTTGTAATTGTTAAGATTGTCACGCATTTATAAACATGATGTCAAGTTCACGTGACTTCATCATGAGAAAAATACAAAGACTCTATTATATCTGTTTAATTTAGAACCATTTGAGCCATTTCCGTGCCTTGACAGCAAATATCTCCAATAACTTATTGTCCATACAAAGCCGCCGTGATGCCAAACATATTGCTTGTGGCCTCTTACTGTTGTGCGATTGCCAATCTGTGTTGCAAGATCCTTGTTATGTGCTACTAATTGGAACAGTGTTAACAAGTTAAGGCGTAAATACCGGAGTTGTCCTACAATTTAGAAAAAAGTTAGAAGCGCAAGATTAATTTTCGTTTTTGCCATTATAATTTAATATGTTACGATGAGTGATTTGCACTTTGAAGCTCTAAACTATCTTGAAATCCAATCCATCAAGATTAGTATGAACATCGACGGGATTACGATATAAAGCAATAAATTAGATTAAGTTATATACGAAGGAAACACAAACCGAATATTATTAATGCGATGCGATGTGCGCCCGCATAATATAAGTGCGCATAACGACGTTCAGCACGGATCGATACAGTTGTTACTAAAGCAAATGGACAGATTACGAGTTAACTACATGAGCTACTGCTCTTTTTTATACACGATTCCAGGGATAGTTATTCTTAAATCTACTCGATACGCCATCAGGACACCTTCCGCGAGAAACACTATACTTTTACCTGCAATTCCTTTCGCAATTAGCGAAATCGCAGATATATACGAAATAATCGAAGCTCAATTTTTTTGAAAAACGGTGATTGAAACAGTCTCTCTTTACCTCACACAATCCGAACCGCTGATATTGGAGAGCTTGACTTTATTTGGCATATCAGATACGCCCGTAACGCGTGTTCACTTTACTTTTCCGTCGACACGGAAGCAACGAAGTTACGGATGAGAAGGTTAAATCTCTGATATCAAGCGTATCACATGCTTGAATTTCATCATGGTGCACGTTACACGTGTAACGTATTTGTAGTGTAAATAGGTTATTGTTACGCGCCGCGCGAATGAAATTTTCCGATAATGAAGCTAGTCATTGCGATTTGGAAGATGACGATAGCTATTAATGTTAGTAGCTCGTGACCATTTAATTATCGACTGTCATTTTTTTTGCAGAAAGGTAATTGCTGTGCGTCATCTTTTTTAAATCACTAATTTATAATCATTGATTTATATCCAAAAATTATAACTGATGTTACTCTCTCTCTCTCTCTCTCTCTCTCTCTCTCTCTCTCTCTCTCTCTCTCTCTCTGTGTGTGTGTGTGTGTGTGTGTTTTGCGACACGAAGATTATTACTAAAGCAAATCTGCGCAGCAAACCGTTAATATAACTCGTATTTCCTCAAAATAAAAATTTGCTTTATAAAGGATCAATATATTTATTAAAATTATAGAAGGAGGTCATCGATCATTTTGTATTTGAACAATAGTTCTTAAACTAAAGCTAAAAATAAAACTAAAAATAAAATAGAAACATAGTAGAAATTAGCAAGTATCTTTTATCAGATAATAATGTAGCAGATTTTATAATATTTTCCTCAATTTTTAAATACTTAAAACAGATCATATTTTTATAAAGTTTTAATAATAAAATAATTATACAAGTTTTAATAAAGTGTAATAATTAGTTTCCAAGAAATAAGGGAGATATCTTTTTAGAAGACCTGTGTCAGTATCGATGACTTTCCTCTATTTATTATAAAAATATTATTAAGATAATAAATCAATTTGTTATAAATTTCTGTCCCTATTTAATCTATCCGTTTACAATATCTTCAATTATAAAAATTTATATTTAAAACTTCAAACCCTCTTTCACTTATAGAAACAAACAAAAAATCCAGATTTCTCGATCAAAAAGATACACAAAAAGACATGTACGTATATGTGTACTGAAAAAGTTAATTTTTTATGGTTTCAAATAGTCCATTATTGTATTCAAATATTGCCGATCGTGCGCTTTGATACTCGGCTATGAAAGCCAACCATTTCGAGACTTTTGGGAAAAAACTTCCGTAGCGCAATCTATACAGCAAAATCGATTGTTTCGACGGGACGGGTATACGTGGCGTTCGCTATAATAGTGTTTCATCGTAGAAGTGCCCAATCTTATGCATAGGAAAGCGATTGGTTCACGTCGTGTTTTTGTCATTCGCAGGGATCGTTCTGTACGTCCTAAATAGTGGTGGCGAAATTCTCCTGGCAAAGAGAAACACGCTATATAAATTTCTATCGGTATCGATAAAAGTTCATCATCATTCAAGTTCATGTATCATTCGTATTTTAGGAGTTAGATGCAAGCATCAAAAGAATGACCACAAAGGTATCCGTTAAAATTTGATATCTTTTTAATAAGTTATTATTAAATCCAATTATACACACATGTATATAACTCTATTTTTTAAATATATAGGTTTTAACTCTATTTAATTTTGAATGCTACGCAACATTTTTTAAATAATAAAATTCTTTTGCATAAATTCATATCATTAACGCTAATCATAAAGAGTTAATTTCTTGTTAATTCTTG